GATTGAAGTTTCTCAGAAGACCTGTTTTTTGAGTTTTGTTTTAGAATTTGCATGCCTTTTTAGGCTTGTAAGAAGATACATATTAGGAAAGAAAGTTGAGTTTAAAGAGATCATTTAGTATGATACCATTTTTATGAATCTATGACCTATTTATATATACATCAAATGGGAACTTCAAAATACAGGTAAAAATAATGAGAAAGTTAAAAACTCAAGTTTGTCATTACCTCTATGGGAAGCCAGGAAGTTGGCAGTGTGATTTAAGAAAGTAACCAGAGTTGATTCAGTGGTGCTGGTGAATAAGCTTACAATATTATAAATGTTAGAATTATTTACATCAATTTTAGTGCATGAAATATTATATAGTCATTTTTAGCATTCAGAAGATGTCAGCAGAGGAAACAGCATGAAAATGTATGCATGGCTGAGCAAAAGAGCTGGAATAAAATATAAAGACATAATTACGACAGGAAATTATAACTAATGCATTGTCTTTTATAATATACAGTTCAGTGTTCTGGAATTGTATTGGAGTATACAAAGGAAAGAAGATTAGAGATACAATTGAAAGCAATAAACTCAAAACTCAAAATCTTGCATAAGGAGCAAGTACTATTTCTGTATTAGAAATCAGGAGGCCGGCTTCTCCTTTGTTGCCTGCATGGTGATAACATCAAGGCATACTACAATTGAGAGCCTCAAATAATGTGAATTAATGATAAGCTACAGGAGCAGTTATTATTTGCTTCGTTAGGAAAGAGGTCTGGTGCATTTTAATTGTCTAAAACCCATCATGTGCCAACAACTTTTGTTCCTGGTGGAATTCAAATCACAGGGTGGTACTTTATTTAACAACTTACCCTTTTACACTATTGTGAATCTACAAGTAGGTTTAATTATATTATTGCCAATCATCTGAAGAATGGTAATTACTTCGAGCTCTTGGCCAATACTTCTGATTGAAAGTGCTATGGGAACTCAGTAGTTCATAGGTTCATATCCTGATCCTATTAATTTTCTTCTAAAACTTTATTCTGTTCCTGAGACAAGGAGTGACTCTACCTTTGGAAATGGAGCTCAGGAAAAACTTAACTGATCTGAAAAGAACATATATATGAAATGAAATGACTTTGCTCTTATTACTTTCTTTTATTTGTATGTGTATTTTGGTACTTCCCTTACTAGCCAAAAGTGAAAAAAAAATTATTTGTAACTTAAATAAAAAGTTGTTCTCCTTTGAGAGATTTGAAGTGCTTTTAAAAATGTCCGAAAATGTTGATAGATGACTAAAGTCAATATTTATGTGGCCACATAAGCCAATGCATTCTACATGTTATTTAGGAAAAATGTTCAGGGTACTTTATATACTTTATAGATATAGATATAGATATAGATTAGATATAGATATAGATATATTGCATGCACACACACATATACATTCTTATATATTTAGATACAAATATTTATATATTTAGATCTACACATAGGAGGAAATTTACCATAGTTGTATGTTTTCATTTCAAAGATGTTAAAGAAGGCTTAACTTTTGTAAAGCCACATTGAAATTGTCTGACAAAGAGGGTATATCTGTTTGTTAAAAGAAGTTCAAAAATGTCTAAAGGTATTTCTGAAATGGTGCTATCTTCTTGCTGAGTCCTATTGTCAACAAGGCTGTTTCTGGTCAACCCGAATACCAACTGCTCTGGTTTCTATTGTGTTGGCTTTTGCTGGTACTTCAGCTGTTGATAGATTTTTATTTTATTAAATATTCTCTGGTAAAAAAAATTTCTGTGACATATATCCCTCAGATTGCATGTTCTAGTCAATCTGTACCCACATTTTCACAAGTTAGTACTGGGCATGCCCAGGAGGTAAACATACATCTATCTTTCTATCACTTTGCATATTATTTCAGAAGTTTCATTGATACCAGCCTGACAGAGATTTGCAGCCTAACAGAGGTGTCTCTTGATTTGAAATTACAAAAGTGTTCATTTAGACTTGGTGTTAGATGTTCTACATTAAAAAAAAAAAAAAAAAAAAAAAGCCTTACCTCCTCTCCCTGCAACAAAATCCTTGGTTGTATTCTATTTTACATATTTTACATATTTGGAAACACTCTCTTAGTTCTACAATTTCTTTATTAAAAAAAATTCTTCCGGGCCCTCCCTGGTAGCATAGCGGGTTAAAGCACAGCACTAAAGAAGCTAAAGCCACTTCCTCATGAATTCAATACCCACCCCAGAGGTGACTCACTTGGTGTGGCAGACCTCTCCTGGCCCACCCACTGTTTCCCTCAGCAATGTACTTCATCAGTCAGCCTGTTCTGCTCCCCATTCTGCCTCTGGTGAATCCACTCACTGCCCCTGCACCTCTGACCTGTACCCCAGTTCTGTATGCATAAATATATATTTTTTAAAATTATTCCTTCTGTCATTTTTTAATATCAACACCTGGGACTAAAACATGTTCCAAGATGACTGCCTAATAGCCATGGTTCTTGGTTTTTTACTCAAAGTGTCATCTTTAAAGAAAAAACTTCTATTTTCCTGTAATTCTGCTGTCTTTTGATTTTCCGCTGTCTGATTCTGACCATCCCATTCTGCCTCTTCTCTCCTTCTACTATAATTCATTGTCCATAAGGGTCAATAAAATAAAATGTGTTCTGTGTTCCACAGCAGTCTCCTCTAAGACCAGGTCCTCTGTTCATTATCGTGGAGGCAAGTATTTGCTGACATTTAGTGAGCAATGATTAACTAACTGCATTGAGTACTTTAGTTCCATTGTCAAAAGCCAAATTAAAGTAATGGCCTCCACAGTCTTCTGTCATCTTTTCTCATTCCTGTTTTCATTCCAGTCCTTTACATAAAGGGAAAAAGAGATAGTAAAATGTTATAAGCTTGCAGTTATAAGGTGAATAAAGTCTGAGATCTAATGTGTAGCACGGTGATGACAGTTGATAAGACTGTATTGTATAATGAATATTTGATAAAAGAATAGAAATTAAATGTTCTCACAAAAAGGTTGACTGTGTGATATTATGGATGTGTTAATTAACTTGAGGGGAGGGAATCCTTTCATATTGTGTGCGTGTGTGAAATAACTGAAATGTACACTTTTCCTACAATTTTAATCCATCAGTTGTACCTCAGTGTAAATGGAGAGATACAGTGTAAATAGAGAGATACTATATGAGGGAAGATTGAATTCCAGTTGTTTCTTATTATGCAAACTTGCAAACTACTTAAAACTTCTAAGATTTACTTCTCATTTTTTCTGTGAGTTACTTACAGAGTTGCTGTGAGAATTAGAAGTGAACATTGCAGATAAAATGTTCAAAAGGCCCAGAGAAAAGTTAGTGAGCTTTTAAAAATAGTTTTGTTATTAAGCTAATACATGTTATACTAATTTTCATGTCTTGCATTTCACTTTAAAGTAATTATGGAAGAGGAGAAGTTCTTTGAGATTGGAAATGTAAACATCTTTTCTTTTTAAACCCCTCTAATTTATTTCACATTGTCATTTAACCAGTTGTTCTTTGACTGTCCAGTAGGCTCCTGTAAAGTATTGAATGTTTCCTTCAGTATGTCCCCCAGTATCATATGGGGACAGCCCCCAAGTCTTTTAACAGACAGCTCCAGAGTAAACAGCTCCAGAGTAAAAAGTGTTGATTATATACCTGGCATTTGCCTGAAAGAAATAGCCTTCTGCAGAGAATTATCACAATGTATTATAATAAAAAAGGCTGAAAAGGAGTTTTCCTAAAATGAATACTCGGGAAATTCATCAAAATCATTTGCATTGTAAGAGGGTATCATGTAAAACTTTATACTTTATGTCAAATCATGTTAAACTTTTCACATAAGAAGCCTAACAGACCTAACTGATGTTCACATGTGGGACTGGATCTTTTCCTCATGAGCTTAGTTATGATGATCCAGAATGGATGACCTCAGCAGGGGTTTGATTACAAAAAGCAAAACAAGTGTCTGAAAGGTTGCCCTAAATCAACTTTACTGTGCAAGTTTAACACAGGAGAGAGATTTGTTGTTTTTTTAAGTGAGAAACTGCAGATCTAAGATAAAAACATTTTGTTCAAATTTCCTGTGAACTGATTAAAATATATTCTGAGGGCTAAGAATAGACTCCTAGTTAATGTGACTGCTGGCCTCCAGCTTTAATTTTATATTACTGTATTATCTTCTAGGCTAGTAAGCAAGAAAAGCCTTAGTCTTGGAGTTATAATAATCTCAATTCTAACCACAGTTTTATAAATACAAAGATTGCTATTCTTTTTTTTTTCTTTTTTAAGATTGCTATTCTTAATAAGACTAGCTACCGCTATGCCTTAATTTATTGACTTGTATAAAGGTGGGGATTGCGGCCTTCCCTGGTGGCGCAGCGGGTTAAAGCACAGCACTGAAAATCTAAAGCCTCTTCCGCATGAGTTCGATTCCCGCCTGCCCCGGAGGTGACCACATGGCGTGGCAGACCTCTCCTGACCCGCCCGCTGCTCCCCTCAGCAGTGTACTTCGTCGACCTGCCTGTTCTGCTCCCCGCTCTGTCTCTGGTGAAGCCTCTCGCCACCCCCGAGCCTCTGGCCTGTATCCCAATTCTGTATGCACAAATAAATAAATCTTTAAAAAAAAAAAAGTGGGGATTGCATTTGTCCGACTAAGTTATTTTGAGTATTAAGTTCAATGAAAGCAGAAGCAATTTATAATACAGCTGCTGTACTTCAACTTTAATTCTTTGTTCTTCCCTTGCAGTTACTAAAATCTACAACCTGATTACCACTACCTCCCCACTAACTGTCCACCTTTAAAACCGCATAATGGATTTTGTCAAAATGTAGTGAAAGAAAAAAAAAATCATACTGGTAGTAGAAATAAAAATCCATCCTATTTTTCTTGAGCAAATATCAATGACACCAAATTTTCCTTTTTAATTCTGTACTGGAATACTAATTATGATAACATGCTTTCCTCTTATTTGCACAGGAAATGATTTATTTCTCGTAGCAGTTCATGAGCTGGGGCATGCTCTGGGATTGGAGCATTCCAACGACCCCACGGCCATCATGGCTCCATTTTACCAGTACATGGAAACTGACAACTTCAAACTACCTAATGATGATTTGCAGGGCATCCAGAAGATATATGGTATGTCACCACTGTCTGTGTTTGGTTAACCTTACAGTAAAGTCCAGAATTGCTGCAGTGTTTTCTTCTTTGAGAAATGTTCTAACTATGAAAGAGAAATAAATGTATGTGTTTGTGTGTGTGGTAGGGGTGGCGGTGGGGGAGTCTGACCTATTAGTCTTCTTTCCATCAAGTTTTCTTGGCAGCAACTCTAGATACCTCAATATATAAAATATGGGAAAATCTAATGCAGATAAAGTGTTCTTATTGAGTTTATTTAGAATAAACATCTGATAAACTTTAGTATTTAAAATTTATATATAATGTGTAATAAATTATAATCAACAAAAATAGTGGAGAATGTAAACCTTTTTATGAAAGATATTGAGACTTTGGAACAAACTGACTGGCTGACTCTTAAGTGTGTGATACTTTGTATTAGATAGTTGCTAGACAAACACTTTTAAAGTTAGAGAAGATAATCTATTTATATAAAAAAAAATAACCTCAAAGAATGAAAGTGAAGTTAATAAGTGCAGGAGTGGGATTTAACAAATTACTGTTTAGTGACATTAAAATAAATTTCCAGTTCAGTAAGATCATTTATACTTATAGATGCAAATTAAGACAAAAGGGAGAAAGAATATTATTATACATGTTTGCTTTATTCTTAAATCCTTCAGAAGAACTATTGACCTTCATAGAGAAATTTGTTTCACACATAATTATTAAGAACTTGACATTTATAATTTACATATATAGAATATACTAACTTAATGAAATGAAACTTTCATTTTGCAATACAAAATAAATGTGTTCTGTTTGTTAATATCTTGAATCCAGAGATGTCATTTGCATTTTTAAGTAACATAGTTTAAGTTCACTAATTTGTTTTGAATTTATTACAGTTTCAATTTTAATATCTCTGTGGTAAGCATTCTTTCATTGTTAAAATGGATTTGGAAAAAAAGGTTAGCTGTTCTTTATTTTGGGCACACTGAGAAAAGAGAAATGTCTCAGATTCAAAACTACATAGTTCATATGTTGAATGAGCTATCTTATGCCTGTGTGTCATCACAAATTCCTCCTCAGGAGCTAACTGAAAGAAAGCTCTTTCTCACGACCTCATGAATTGGTAGACTAGACTGAAGGTCTGCAAAAGAATATTCTTCCCTTATCTAAATATTAAATTCAAACAACCCTTTAAAAAAAAAAACACATAAATCCCTTGAGAAATGATGCTTTACATCTGTACCAAATTACATGTGTAAACTTTTGGCTCTATTTAGAAATATTCTTAACATTAATATTTTACCAGTGGTGTTTTAATCAATAGGTGTTTGAGATTCGGTATTCAAATGAAAACATCTTTTAGCAATTTGTCAAAACATTTCATTAAAAGAAAATAATGAATGTCAGGAAAAGCCTTATAAAATATAACTGCAGACATGGGGTAGAATAAGCTAAGATTTCGTTTATGTTTATCTTTTAGAAATATTTACATAGAATCATTGTCTACTAAAATCTGAGGTTAACTTTGGAGTTTAGATGCACAATGCTAATATTCATTTTCATTTATTTATTATTTATGTACCACCTACTTCCATAAAAGATGTGAAAGCAGCTTTTCTAATAAGAGCTGTGGCAAACCTATAAAAACTATCATTAAAAATTAACAAAGAAACCTAGTTACTTGAATCTAGAATTTAGCAGGATAAGAACAGTTTCTGATAGACTTGGCAATGGGTTGTTGGGTAAAATGGTTGTTTTTTTTTTTTTTTCCAGAAAATATATGATCCTAAATAATGCTTAGCTCCCTTAGTGTGTATCCTCCACTTTTGCATGGTTATCTTCTGTAGTGTGTTTCCCGGCACTAGTCCACTTTTAAGTGAGCCAAGTGTGCTGTCCTCATATTTTCAAAAGGTCCACCTGACAAGATTCCTCCACCTACGAGACCCTTACCGACAGTGCCCCCACACCGCTCCATTCCTCCCGCTGACCCAAGGAAGAACGACAAGCCCAAACCTCCCCGGCCACCGACTGGCAGACCTTCCTATCCTGGAGCCAAACCCAACATCTGTGATGGGAATTTTAACACTCTAGCTATTCTTCGTCGTGAGATGTTTGTTTTCAAGGTAGGAGGCTGTGATTTTTTTTTTTTTTAACGGTAGATCAAATGTCTACAGTGTCGCTTCAGAAAACAAGTTCTCATTCATTCTAACACTACCTTCCCAGACCGCTCACGGTAGAAGGTTCCAAAAAAGCATCTTAAAAAATAAGCGCACAAATGGACTTAAATGTCTAGCAAAGATTGCTGTAGCATTCTATTTGGGGAATACATTTATGTCAGCAGAAGCTAAAATGCCTAGAAATGTGAGGGTAAGAAAATGCTGCATGTTATGAACAGATAAAAAAGCACAATTTAAATCATGAATGGGAACTAATAGGGATGATTTGCTTGGGAGCTTAGCCGTTCCTAGGCACACTGCAGCTATTCTATCTTTGGTTTGCCTATCTTTATAATATCCCTACAATTTTATTTGACAATTAAAGCATTATTTTTTAGGAGGAGTATTGATCATTTTGTTAGGGGTCTACTTGTAGCCATTTGAGTTAAATCTCCTATATGAGACCATGATCACTTTGATTTCACGTATAGATGTTGTTTTCATTAGTCAAGCTTTGACTACTAATGTATATTATCTTATAAGGATTACAGGCTAAAATTAATTTTATATTTTGCTAAATTTGCTTTTTAAATACTTTTGGGTTCAAAGATGATAACACTAATAATATACCAGGGCTAATTGCATAATATTGCAAACTAAATATAGTATAATTTTTTTAAATGATGTTATTTTTATACTGATGTTATTTGTAAACTGTCTTAAAGATTAATGGCATTGGAGTATTATAAAAGCCACATTTATTGGTGTCATCCATTAGAAAATAAAATAATGTGCTCTTATTTTTGGTGGACACTGATCAATAAATAATGAAATATTATACTACTTACATAGAATTTCCTGTCTACTAGAGGCTATACTTTAAAAATATAGATTTCATATGTATTTTTTCTAGACAAAGTACTTTATTTTATATGTTGGAAAATAAGATTTGGGTTTGATATAATATGCACAAAAGCATAATACTTTCCAAGAAAAATCGAAGCTTTTATTCATACACATGAATACATTTTTGACTTCAATAAATATTGTGTAGTGCTTCATTATCTTCCATTTGACTTAATTAGAGTAATAAATTGAGACTCAAGTAGTGAAAAAAAGTTTATGAAATACCTATGTATGTGTATATGGGGGATAAGTTGATGTGAAGAACTAGAGTACTTACCTGTCTACCTAACTAAAGAACATATCTCATAGTAGACCTATGATGATTATCTTTCATCAATTAATTTTCATCAATGTTTTGCCCTTCACATTGTGGGGGCTTAGTGAATTCTATTCACTGATAAAATGAGGTCTTGTGGTCACTGGTTCCTAGAATCAGACATGGATTTAAAAAAAAGCACATAGGCCACATTTAAGTAAAATAGTTACTATTTTCAATATCAAAATGTTTATAAATAAGTATTAGTAAAGCCTGCTTTTCTAAACTCGCATATTACCTTGGATCCTTTCATCAAAACTCTACAGGACAGAGCTCCTAAAGTCTGAATTTAAATTCTTCTGTTCACTTTTCCCTGCTGTTTTTCTAAGAATGATTTCTGTTGAAGACATCTTCTGACAGATACCTCGTTCTTCTAAATCTCCACTTACTTAGTAGATTTTAAGTCATGTAGCTTCATAATTTTCATATTCATGTCTCCTCAAATGTTGTGTAAGCCCAGGATAATACCCTAGGCACTAGGCAGGCATATGTGAATAGAAGATAGCACCTCTATCTTTAAAGAGCTCATACTCCAGAAGAGAAAACAAGCCAGAACCAACGTTCTTTTAACATATAAAAGCTACAAACAAACATGAAAAAAAAATACTGCAGTATAACTGGACATACGATAAAAACTTCATTGAGAAAGAGTTTATGCTGAATTTTGAGAGAGGAATTTGCTACATTTATGAAATTATTTGGTATACTAAAAAGTAGGTGGTTGAGGGATAGAAAAATAGACCCGTTAACTTTAGTTCTAACATCTGGCATTTTTGGGAAGTCTTTGCTTATCCAAATTTCTCTCCTCAACATCTTCCACAAGTCCTGATCAACCCCAAATCTTTCCAGACATTTTTATATACTGTTTCTGCATCCAATTAGCATGTTTTTAATTTGTCTTATTTAACTATTTATCAGAATAGTGTTCCTTAGCTACTTTATAAACAGCTTGGGAGCAAGGATTTGCTCATGTGAATTTCATAGTGCTTGAATAGTAAGCATACCAGCATTGTAAGTATTTAAGTAAGCTGTATCTTGTGTCATATTCATACAACTATTATCAAACAATATAAAAATGAAAATATACCATTCTGATAGCTTGTTATTCCTTGTCCAAAAAGCTCCATAAGTATTATTTACTTAAATTCTCTATGTATGAATTTTAAATAAGAAAATCTAGGTTATAATTCAAAGTGAGTATCATTAGGACATACTGTTTTCTTACTAGAAAATTTGTCCTTAGTTTAAATGAGTTCCAGCCAGGTAACATATCAAAACTCTGGTTTTACCTAGTCCCAACAGATAAAATGAAACAATGTATAATTACTACTAACCTTTCCAGAAAGATATTAGTGTACAGGAACCAACATTTTCATAAGAAGAAACAACAGAAAACATTGGAGGGCATACGTAGGCAAAATTGTAATTTTACATAGGCCATACTGCTAGAAATCAACCTAGTTCTGGGAAACAAACTGCATCATTGTTCCCCAGTGGGGAGCTTCTTGTAACAAGACTTGCTAGTAACCAAAGGGAGCTGTATTTTTATTTTGTACCATGAGAACTCCAGGTGCTAAATACTGTTTTTAATTCCTATTCCTAACTTGGAGAGTGTAATCACTACTACATCTTTTCACATATCACAAAATATTGTATACTAAAAAGTAATTCTGCTTTCCTTCACAAAATAAATAAAAAGAAATATCACATACATATAGTGTAGAATTTTCAAGGAACATTCTTAAAAAAATCATCTTCTCTAAACTTAGAACAAAACTGCTTTTCTTATTGCTTCCCACCCCCCCCCACCCAGTTCCTTGGCATTTTGTTTTGATTTTTATTTCCTTGCTTTAGATGGTTTATATTCTCCCAATTATGAAACTACATGGAAAGCTTAACTTTCTCATGCAGAAAAACAGAATATTATTTTGATATAACAAGGTTTACAGCTGTATGTAAAGAAACATTTTATTATTCACCCCAACAACCACTCCCCAAATTAGACCAACAAAAATTATTTGGTTGCTTTTTCTTTATCAAATTTTTGATCTGTTCATTTATCAAAAACCTGTTTTGTGATCAACTTCATTTATTACTACCTATTTAATTCTACTGAAGAATCATAGTTCCCATTATTTCCATAGAAACAGATTTCTCCTTATTCTGCCCTTGGTAAAACTAGCTTTTCATCCATTGAAAGTATGTCTCATTAATAAAGCATATTTCTAAGCATAGGTTACAGCTCAACTTTTTATGCAAGAGAGTTGTTTTGTTTAATAAAAGAAATTGTACACAAGGCTAGGTAAAAGAAAAATAGAAATGTCTACTGAAAGTGATAGTTCACAACTATAAGATTTTTACCCTCAATTATATATTTCCATAATACTGATATGTGACTAAGCTCAACTCAGTTGGTCAAAATTTGAATTTTTATCTCCTGTAAATTACCTTACTGTCTCTTAGTAGTTAATGTTGATTGATTGCTTGTTCTATACTAAACATCTACATACAGGCCAAGATTTACCCCTTTCATTCAAGTTATTTTTAGAACTGTCTTCCTTTGTGTATATTACTCTTTTAATTCTAGTATCCATGAAATCTGGAATTGTTCCTTTCTCACCACACTTTATCAACTTATCACATCACACACACATACAGAATGCTTGTTCAATTTTCCAAGTACATATTGGAGCTTTTCTGTATATATTACAGTGAACTTTTAGAATTAAAAAAAGTTAAAGATATGTTTTTCCTTAAAATGCTTAAGTTTTATCAAGGAAAGAGAAGTATATAATTATCAATCAGAAATTATTTTAAATTGAACTCAAGGGCGGCCCTCCCTGGTGGCGCAGCGGGTTAAAGCACTGCACTAAGAAGCTGAAACCACTTCTGCATGAGTTCGATTCCCGCCTGCCCCGGAGGTGACCACATGGCGTGGCAGACCTCTCCTGACCCGCCCGCTGCTCCCCTCAGCAGTGTACTTCATTGATCTGCCTGTTCTGCTCCCCACTTTCTGGTGAAGTCTTTCGCCACCCGAGTCTCTGGCTTGTACCCCAGTTCTGTAAGCACAAATAAATCTTTAAAAAAAAAAAAATTGAACTCAAGGGCATGTCTCTTTTGCATATGAGATATTGAACAGAAGCTAATAAAGCAATAGAAGCAGCCATGGGTCCAGCAGGTGAACTCCTAATAAGCATTGTAGTCAAGGATAAGGAGAAAAAAAGAAGGTTAAAAGGAAGGAAAAAAGGATAAAGTTAAAAAAGGAAGGGTTATTGCTATTGGTCAGCTTTGAAAATTCCAAGATATAGGGAGATCTATATTCTCATAGCAGTGAAGTAATGAATCAAGATAACAAACTTAAAGTTAAGGTACTAATCTGTTCTTCACAAATGTGTTTCATTTGTGTCTCTTTCTATCAAAAGGATAGGCAATGTCATTTTCCTGTTTATCTAGTAAATAATCCTAAAATATCAAGTTTGTTTACTCTACCTTCGAAATATATTAACAATCCAATCACTTCTAATCCGGTAATACAAATATTGTCCAAGGTGCCATCACATTCACATTGTAATAACTTCAAAATTGTTTTTCTGTTTCTTCCGATGTCATTTCCCACCAATGTTTTGTCAGTTTTACATCCTGTAAAACCATGTATCAGATCATATCACTGCTTTGCAGAAAAAAGTATTCTGTATCTGACTCAGTAAAAATCCAAGGTTTTTATCAGATAATCCCACTTCTGGGC